AGACAAGTGTCTCCTTGACAAACATCACTAATACAGTCGCTATTGACCTTGCATTTTAAACCATCTGCGCATTTTGGACACAAACCACCACCACAATTCGTGTCAGTTTCAAGTCCATTCTTTGCTGTATCGGTACAAGTGGGAGCTAAAACACACGATGGATTATATTATATTATTGTTAATTAATATACTTTGGCATGTAACTCCATTGCAAACATTACTGATACAATCATTATTGACTTTGCATTTTAAGCCATCTGCGCATTTTGGACACAATCCACCACCACAATCTTTGTCAGTTTCGTTTCCATTGAGTACAGTGTCGGTGCATGTGGAGACTGAAAGAAAGGATTTGTTGTTGTAGAGTGTATGTAGAATTATGTTTGCGGTAGGGGGAAGCTTGCGGTATGATCTGAAAGAGGTGACATTATAAGTTTTGCACCAAAGGGTCGCGCATGGAAAATGACGTTTATCGATGCAAAATGCTAAGGAGTAAAGTGTCCTGTGAGTGCCGAATTGAGAAGATGTCCTATTTTTAGTGGCTTTGTGACAGTGAAAAGTTAGTTTGATGAGGTAATTGAAACTGGATGTGATTGAAAAGCAGGAATAGCATAGAGTTATCGACATACGGCCCGGTGATGTCGGTAGAAGAATTAAAGGGCAAAATGGAAGAAAACGTTTTCGAGGATGAAACAGTATGATTTCGATGAGGATGCTTTTGAAAACCTCTTTCAGATGTTTTGGTAAGCATGGAAACAAACATTGAGTCATTTGACGTTATTTTATATCCGTATGGATTCATCTGAGCGGTGGAAAGAAATGTAATAAACATGATAGTGATAATTGGTGATATTCATGAAAACATAAGAGATGGATAGTACTTCGTTGTATTTTGTGCTTTTAAATGATACCTATTGTGAAATACCTCATGTAAGTAACTTTTAGTGTCGATATGATGTGAAATTTTAGAAACTGCATGAATCCGACGCTAAAAAGCTACCTTACTCATTGCTATTTTCCATCGATAAATCGAATTTTCGATGCGCTTTAATTTGGTATGAAATTTGTTATGGCTGCTATACGAAATGATAGCGTTACCCGTTTGGAAAAATATTTTTACGCACCCTGTGTACTTGGAGGAACTGGTATGCCTTGACAAGTAGTTCCGTTGCAATTATTAGTCATACAATCATTATTCACTTTGCAGTTTAAACCAGTTGCGCATTTTGGACATGTTCCACCACCACAATCTTTGTCAGTTTCATTTCCGTTCGTTACCGTATCGTTGCAACGTGGAGCTAAAATAAATGATGAACTATGTTATATTATCCTTAACTTATATATCTTGATGGATTCTCAATGTGAAAACACCATTGATACACCCAGAAGATAGATTACATTCCACTATATCGTGGATTTTGGACTTTGTATACCACTAGAGCTTGCAACAGTTTCGTCTTGACTCTCGACAACTTCGCTGGAAGCAGAACGTAAAACCAACGACGAATTATTTTATATTGCCCTAAATCAGTATTAGGGCTTGCAAGCAAAAATATGAAGCATCTCATATGTTGTGTGGGCAAATATTAACTATACGGAATTAGTTGAGAAATATTCGAAGAAAACTGCTGAATGGTGTAAAATTACAAAAGTAAAGAATTTAAAATTCGAATCTGAATCAAAACAACAGCAGATTTGAATATTGCAGAATTCGAATTGGATGTCGAAATTTTTTTTTCGAGCAATGAAAACGATGGAGAACAGTGAGTATGAACGGCACGTTTTTATCTGACTCAAAAATGAATGGTGACGAATCACTGCAAAGCAAGTGTGTAGACTTACAGATCAAACGGTCCAAAGTATTGGAGGCTAACTTTATTAGTCTGAGAATCAGCATTGAACCCTGATTATTAATTACGAGTTTATTTTGCATTTTACGACAGGTTAATTTTTCACACTTGGGATACTCGCCAGATATCGAAAAAATTTTTTTATAACCGTTCTGTTAGAAGTCTGTGTAGTTCTATAATGCTGATTGTATTGTTTAGAAATATCACATTTGCTTAAAAAGTACTCAGATAATTAGCAAGATTTGATGCACGCTGTGAAAGCCTTAAAAACTAGTTTTTGACCAAAAGCACCATTAAAATCCGATTTAGATTCGTTGAAAATAGATCCGTTCGATGCAGAATTTCTTTCTATATCAGAATCTTTAAGAAAATTTTAGATATTCAAATTTTTTTCTATTGATAAATGTCAAATACCACCCAGATTGGGTCATATTGTCACAAGTAATGATTTTTCCAGTCTTATGAAGTAATAGCTTTTACGGGTGCAGTAGCGAGACTCTTTACTGAATATGGAATTCAATGTGCTCTTTCTGATGAGACCATTTTCAACTTGGAATTTGATGTTTAGTAAAGGATATGGGTGTGGGTGTCAGGTACGGTGTATAAGATATGGGGGCGGGTAGGTGTGAGAGAATAGCAGATCCACACCGATCCTCAGATTCCATACCCACATGCACAGCTTCAGAATCTAGGCTAGACATTTGTAGGTTTTACGTTTATACTGTATTCAGAATTTCATCTTCAAAATTCTATTACGATTCATAAATGTGGCCATTTACGATCTTCACAAAAATGGATGCAACGGTTTCACCAAGATTTTAGTTCGTGTTTATTCAGAATCTATTCAAGATTTATATATTTTTAGACCACAATACGAATTTTAATATCACAGTTGAGCGAAATCTCAACAGTAATAAAGAGAAAGATTTTTCAGATGTTTATCATGTTCTGTTGGGAGCCTGATAGAATTCAGGAGGCTACCCGAATTTTACCCTGATCATGGTTGGGTCTTGACATAAATATGCAAAGAGTACCTGGCGAAATTCGGTATGAGTGTGAGTATGTGGGTATAGGATCTCAGCATCTGTGTGGATCTTCTA